AAAAAAAAAAAAAAATCAGGAGTTACTGGGCAATTTAGAGCATGATTTTTATGAACATCATCCTTTGGAAGCCTCTGCTAGTAGAAAACAGAAAGATCAAAAGACATAGTTGTTGACTTGAGATATTCCAATGTTGATAAACATCCAGTAAGAGCTGGGCACAGTGGCACATGCTTGTAATTGCAGATACTGTGAAGGCAGGAGGATTACAAGCTTGAGGCCAGCCTCTGAAATTTAGCAAGATCATGTCTCAAAACAAAATAAAAAGCGCAAGGCCCTGGGTTCAATCCCTAGCACCACAAAAATAAATAAATAAATAAAAATAAAAGGGCTGGGAATGTAGCTCAGTGGTAAAGTACTTGCTTAGCGTGCGTGAGACCCTAGGTTCAATTCCCAAAACTGCAAACAAACAACAACAATAACGCCCCCCCACCCCCGCACACACCAAAAAAAAACAAAAAACAAAAAAACAGTAAGGTAGTAAGAGAAGAATGTAATTCAGGGAGGTTAAAAAATATGAATGATGGAGCTGGGGTTATGGCTCAATGGTAGAGCACTTGCCTAGCACGTGTGAGGCATTGGGTTTGATTCTTAGCACCACATGTAAACAAATAAATAAGTAAAATATAGGTCTATCAATAACTAATAAAAAAATATGAATGAGGGTTATGGATGTAGGTTGGCAGAGAAGCACTTGCTTAGCATGTGTGAGATTCTGGGTTCAATCCCCAGCACTACCAAAAAAGAAGGTTCATGAATTCCATTAACAGAGGGTCCAGTGGTATGAGATAACAGGACTTCTAGTACTTCTCATCTAGGATTTTCCCACACCCTTGACTTGCACCTTGCACATAGGAACACCAGTAATTACTTGTTGTGATATTTGCTCCCCACACATTGCCTTCCAGTTTCTGCATTACTCATTAAAGTTTCCCTCTTCCAGTTTCCTATTATGTTGGAACCTTGGGAACTCACACTGAGATCAAGAGAGTGGCAGAGGAAAAGGTCACTTTGCCCTGCCACCATCAACTGGGGCTTCCAGAAAAAGACACGCTAGATATCGAATGGCTGCTCACTGATAATGAAGGAAACCAAAAAGTGGTAAGTATACACCTTGGCTAGAGTCTGCCCTCTCCCTTGTCCCCCTACTTTGGTCTTTCCTCAATCTTCCTGTCTTTTTAATTTGGTATGAAAAAGCTTGGATCGCTTTTTCATCTCCACTTATAGTTGAAAGACTTTATGTATAAAACTAGAGAGGGTCTGTGGTTGTGGCTAAGAGGTAGAGAACTCACATAGCATGCATGAAGCACTGGGTTCCATCCTCAGCACCTCATAATATGATGCCCACATACGTAACTGGCCAGCAAGAGAACTGATATTGGTTCTGGAGTTGGAAAATAAAAGAGCATGCCCTAGGTTTTTGGTACTCAAATTGAGTAGGACCATGAAGGACGTCTAGTTTCCCATACTTCTGGAGGTGAAAATGGTACTCATAGTGCTCTGAGGATCCACTGGGGCTGCCTGTAATAAGAGAATGACAACTAAGTAACTTACCATTGTTATTCTTCCTGCCTTGTCTCCCATGCAGCCACAGTTCAATCAGGTTCCTACTATAACTACTATTCTCACCTCTGTTACTCTGTTTTGTTTTTGTACCAGACATTGAACCCAGGGGTCTTTACCACTGAGCCACATCCCCAGCCCTTTTTAAATATTTTATTTAGAAACAAGGTCTTGCTGAGTTGCTTAGGGCCTTACTAAATTGCTGAGGCTAGATTTGAACTTTTGATCCTCCTACCTCAGCCTTCTGAGCTATTGGGACTACAGGCAGGCACAACCTCACCCAGCACTCTGACTTTTTGTTATTGTTGTTGTTGTTGTTTTTGAAAGTGTATATTTTTGTTTAGAAGTTTGTGATTTTAAAAAATCTGTGACCCAGTGTTATGGTTTGGATATAAGGTGTCCCCCCAAACCTCCTGTGTTGTGAGGTGAAATGCTTAGTTTGTGAGAGCTGTAACCTAATCAGTCTATACTGGTTTGAATGGACTGACTGGGTGGTAACTGTAGGCAGGCGTGGCATGGCTGGAGGAAGTGGGTCACTCGAGATGTGCCCTCCTCCTGTGGCCCCTTTCCCTATTTTTCTTCTTCCTGGATGCCGTGCCTTTCACCATGAACTTGGTAAATACTCTTTTCACTATACTTGAGTCACGTTCCTGAGTTCTTTCTGACTAGGCCTGATTTGGACTTCCTCTTCTGTTCTTCTTTCCTTCACCATGCCCTTCCTCTGTAATATTCTGCCTCATCTTAGGCCAGAGCAATGCAATTGGCCTACCATGAACTGAACCTCTGAGCAAAATAAACTTTTCCTCCTTTAAGTGGTCCTTGTTGGGTATTTTGGTCACAGCATCAAAAGCTGACTTAGGAAAACTGATTTTAGAATTTTCTTCTTTATTTCAGAGCTTTGCTTCTTTCCCTGGTTAAAAAAAAAAAATAGAAATTTTCCTTTCCCACTCTATATCTATACTACTCATTTTATAAGATGATTTATGCTATAAGAAGCCAAGGTTTTTCACTAACAATAAATTTTAGAATCACTGCTGGAGTTTAATCTGCTTAAGTAGCTGTCTACATCACCTTGTTATTTTGATTCTGATTGTCATTTTGTTCTCAGTGTACATCATCTTGAGACGATGTATACTCTGTAGAACAAGGTCACCTTAACCTGAATAAACCTTAACATGCTTATTCCAACAACTTCTTGGTCAATCCTAGACATGATATTCTCAGTTCCGAATGAAGTTAATAAGAGCCATGTTCCTATAGTAAAAATCCAAGAACTTGGTAAATACTCTTTTCACTATACTTGAGTCAAGTTCCTGAGGTGTTTCTGACTAGGCATGATTTAGACTTCCTCTTCTGTTCTCATAAAATTCATTTTGAGCAAGAGTCCTGCCAAGTCAGTTCAGTGATAAATTCTTATCCTTGATGTCTAACCACCTTCAATGTCTTATCACCTGGTCTGTCTTTAACAATAACCCTTTCAAGCATTGAGTCAAAGACTTTCTTACTCCTAATATTTCTTCTTATTAATTTTCCATCCATTCACCTCCACCCTACCCCTTGTATAAACTACCCTTGTTCTTTTTGGAGTCAGAGTTGAGCACAATCTCCCCATTCTATGACCCCATTGCAATGGTCCCTATACCTATTGCCATTGCCCCCTTGAATAAAGTCTGCCTTACAATCTTTAACAAGAATCACTGAATAGTTTCTTCTTTAGCAACTCTACAATCTAATTTTCATCTAGGTTTTTACATTTTTTTTAAGAGAGAGAGAGAGAGAATTTTTTAATATTTCTTTTTTAGTTTTCGGCGGACACAACATCTTTGTTTGTATGTGGTGCTGAGGATTGAACCTGGGCCGCACGCATGCCAGGCGAGCGCGCTACCACTTGAGCCACATCCCCAGCCCCTAGGTTTTTACATTTGATCTAAAAAAAAAGACTTGCTTGGTTATTGGTTACATAGGCAAGTGAATATATGGGTAAAGAGTTAAGCTGATTTGAAAGGCACTGATAGAACTTTAAATAGGTCAAAATTCCCTATTTATCTTCACTGACAATTTATAGTAAGGATGGTCATTGATTTAATTTACAGTAAAATGGTCATTTATTCAATCATTCAGATCACACAAATTTATTTAGCACTTACTGTATGCCACACTAGAATACAATAATAAAGAAGCTATCATAATCCCTGCCTTCTGGGGGGCCTCCAGGAAAGACATTCAATAGTTGGGAAGGAAGTCAGGTGTGGGGGGTGCATGCCTATAATCCCAGCAACTTGGGAGGCTGAGGCAGGAGGATTACAATTTCAAGGCCAGCCTCAACAACTTAATGAGACCCTAAGCAACTTAGCAAGACCCTGTGTCCAAAAAATAGGGGATATAGCTCAGTTGATAGAGTGTTTATCTTGCATGCACAAGGACCTGAGTTCTATCCCTAGCACCAAACAAACAAAAAAACAAACCAAAAAAAAAAGACTGGAAATGTTGCTCAGTGATAAAGCACCCCTATGTTCAATTCCCAGTACCAAATAATAATAATCATTATAATTTGGAAGAGAGGGAAGGTGGAAGAATGGATGAAAGGAAGAAGGAATATTAACTACATGCCAGATAAAAATCTGTTTATTACCTTTTATCTCATTATTTTCAATCCTCATGATGAGGATTTTATTAGGTAAATTTTACAAATAAGGAACTGAACCAGGTGTGGTGGTGGGAGCATATACCTATAATCCCAACAACTTGGTAAATTGAAACAGAAGGATCACAAATTCAAGGTTAGCTTCAGCAACTTAGCAAGACTCTAAGTAATTTAGCAAAACTCTCAAAATAAAAGATAAAAAGGACTGGGTAAAGCTTAGTGGTAAAGCACCACTGAACTCAATCCTTAGTTCAAGAACTAAATAAAAACCAAAAATAAATAAGGAACTGAATCATGTTTTTTGCATGAGTACACACATACTGACACAAACACACACAAAATGAGCAAATTGCCTAAGGTAACCTATTTGCATGTTTAAATTGGACACTCTGACATTGGTTTCTGGGTTGTTAACCACTATCTTTATTGTTATTATTATTATTATTAGGTACCAGGGATTGAACTCAGTGGCACTCGACCACTAAGCCACATCTGCAGCCCCATTTTGTATTTTATTTAGAGACAGGGTCTTACTGAGTTGCTTAGCACCTCACTTTTTTCCTGAGGCTGGCTTTGAACTCTCGATCCTCCTGTCTCAGCCTCCCAAACCACTGGGATTATAGGCATACACCACCATGCCTGGCTACTATTTATATTATTTTTAAATGATTTGGAAGTATGACATGTGTCATATGGAAAATAAAGAGAATATAGGTAGGAAATTATTCTAGGCAGAACTAATGCTGCATAAACCCTGGTGCAGGAAATTATTTGGCATTAGTGGAACTTATCAAAGATTAAAAATCAATTTAGGGTCTGGGGCTGTTGCTCAGTGGCAGAGCACTTGCCTAGCATGTATGAGGCAAATAAAATAAAGGCATGCTGTCCATCTACAACTGCAAAAAATATATATTTTTTAAAATTTAAAAAATATAAAAGTCAATTTAGTCAGATTTAATAAAAACACATGCACTCTATAGCAAAGGAACTAGTTGAAAAAAATAAATGTGTAAAGAGACAATTTCAAAACAAAGTGACAGCTGGGCGTAATGGTGCACACCTGTAATCCCAGCAGCTTGGGAGGCTGAGACAGGAGAATTGCGAGTTCAAAGCCACCTTCAGCAACAGGGAGGCGCTAAGCAACTCAATGAGACCTGTCTCTAAATAAAATATAAAAAAGGGCTGGGGATGTGGCTCCGTGGTCGAGAATCCCTGAGTTCAATCCCTGGTAACAACAACAACAAAAGCGAAGTGACAATCATCATGACAGAGATAAGCAGTGTTCCACAGATGTTCCTTAACTTATAATAGAGTTATATACCCACAATTTTAAGTTGAAGATTGGAAGTTGAAAATGCATTTAATACTGCTAACCTACCAAACATCCTTGCTTAGCAAGATAGTGAGCTATAGAGTCTCAGTTGTTTCCCTTGTGATCACGTGGCTGACTGGGAGCTATGGCTTGCTGCTGCTGCCTTTCATCTCAAGGGAGTATCATACTACATGTCACTAGCCTAGTAAAGGATAAAAATTTCAACTTTGAAGTACAGTTTCTATTGAAGCCCTCATAAAATCAGGGCTGGGGTTATGGCTCGGTGGTAAAGCCCTTGCCTAGCACATGTGAGGCACTGGGTTCGATCCTCGGCACCACATAAAAACAAATAAATAAAATAAATGTATTGTGTCCATCTACAACTAAAAAAGTATTTTTTTAAAAAATCATAAAATCAAACCAGTATAAGTTGCGGATTCTCTGTACATGAATACAATCCCCCCCGCCTTACTGCAAGAGATACATTCCAAGACCTCCAGTGGATGCCTGAGACCACAGATAGTACAGAATTCTGTATATACCAATTTTCTTCCTATGCTTACAGACCCAAATTTAGGGCCT